TTCTCCTCCTCCTCCTCCTCCTCCTCCTCCTCCTCCTCCTCCTCCTCCTCCTCCTCCTCCTCCTCCGTTTTTCTCTTCTCCACCATCCTTTACTCCTTCTTTACTCTTCCTCCCCCGCGCCTAATCCTTCTCTCCTGTCCTTCAGATTCGATACGCCGCTACAGACGCGCAGTGTCTCGTCCTGCTCTACCGCGTGCTCGGGCCGGAGATCGCAGAGCGGGCAAGGAGACTATGGTTGTCGTCAAAGAAGAGCGGGAAGGGAAAGCAAAAGAAGAGAGAGAGGAGGAGGGAGGAGGAGCAGGAGGGTGGCATGAGCGTAGCAGGGCTGATAGGAAGAGGAGATGGTCACAAGCGAGGAGAGAGGAGGGAGAGGAACAGAGGAGTTTGTAACCTCGTGGAGTTTGACGAGAAGAATCTCTTGGGGAGGAGACTGGCGGGGAAGGGAAAGTCAGTGGTGGTAGGAGACCTCCCTCCCTAGCTACCTTTCTATCTACCCACCTGCCTACTTACCTTCCTTCCTTCCTTCCTTTTCTAGCCGCCTCCTCTCCTTTCAACTCTTCAGTCAATCCATGGATCCTCGTTTTCCCTCCTCCTTCTCTCCCTCTCCCACTCTTTCCTTCCTTCTCTCCCTCTCTTTTCTTATTTCATGACAGATCCGAGAGCTTGCTGGGCCTGAGGCAGACGTCAAGTAAGCCCTCCCTGCCCATTTCCGTCAAACCATCTGACTTCTCCTCCTCCTCCTCCTCCTCCTCCTCCTCCTCCTCCTCCTCCTCCTCCTCCTCCTCCTCCTCCTCTTCCTCCTCCTCCTCTTCCTCCTCCTAGTTTCCTCTGCTCCGAGCGTCATAGCTCAGGTTGTCTGGAGTGGCCAAATGCGCTGGTGCTGCTGATCAACATCGGACATGGAAGGTCAGGGGGGAGGCGAGGGAGGCAGGAGGTGCACGGTTGTACATGCAGAGGGGAGGGAGAGACGAGGACGAGGACGAGGAGGGAGAACGAGGAAGAGGAGGACGAGGAGGGAGAACGAGAACGAGGACGAGGAGGAGACGAGGAGGGAGGACGAGGACGAGGAGGTACAAGACGAGGGGATGAATGGAGAGCAGGTACAACAACGACTTCTCAGCAGACGGGGAGACGGTGTCGTGGTACGCCAGCATCAAGTTCTGCTCCTCCTCCCCCATCCTTCGGAAAACGATCCTCGAGTGGGAACGACAAATGAAAGCTGAAGGAGGAGAGGACGGATGGCACGAGCACGCAGCAGGGGGAGGGGAGGAGCAAGAAGCGGAGGAGGGAGGAGGGGAGGAGCCAGCAGGAGAGCAAGGGGAGGAGGGAGGAGGGGAAGAGGACGCGAACGATATCCCTCCTACACTGCTCTTTGCGAGGTTCAAGAATCAGCCCTACGTCTTCCTCGGGCGGCTGCGGATCCAGGAGCTCCACGTTCCCTCCTCGCAGACTCGTCCCGTCAAGGTCACCTGGAGGCTGGAAGACGCGGCCAAGTTAAGAGAAGTTCCTGATTTCATGAGGATAATAGGTGGAAGATAGACGGTGCCAACCTGAACGTTCTCCTCCCTCCCTCCTCCTCCCTTCAGTGTCCTCCTTTTCTAGATTGCATTCCACTTTCCCCCTTTCCCTCACCTCTCAGTCCTCCTCCTCATCGCAATTCTTGCTCTGCTCAGTACTTTACAGTCCTTCAGCAAGAACCCTCCGTTCTTTCTCCCACGAGCTTATCAGCTTCTCCGCCTCCTCCTCCCCCGCGGCAAACTTAGCAAGCTTGACCGCCATCGTCTCGTCTCTTTCCGTGCCACGTCCCAGCAAGAAGCTCTTGGCAAGGCTGAAACAAGACGTCAGCTTCTGCTGCCACCTTCCTCTTTCACTCCTCATCCCTGCCCCCCACCACTCGTGCTCCGTTTAACCTCCTCCTTGCTCTCCCTCTCCTTTCCTCGTTCTCGTTGATACCCTTTCTACTCTGCTTTCGCCTGCCTCCTCTTCCCTCCCTCCCTCCTCCTCCTCCTCCTCCTCCTCCTCCTCCTCCTCCTCTTCAATCCTCGGCCCTCAGCGAGCTTACCTCAGTTGAGAAGCAGGATGATCGAACCGATCGACGATCTTGGTCAGCATTTCATTTGCCAGCTCCTCGTTTTTTTCAATCGCGCCTGCTCCCTGCATGTGGTACATGGCCATCACGTACATCGCGTCGACATGCTCGTCAGCTGCTGACTGATTCATCCACTGTATCGCCATCCCTATGCTCTCCTGCACTCCAACCCCGTCCTGCAGGCACAGCGCAAGGTTGTACATCCCCTCCGAGCAACCAGCCTCTGCTGCCTTGCTGTACCACCGCACAGCCTCTGCCACGTCCTTGTCTGTCCCGTAGCCATGAAGGAAGCAGGTCCCAAGGCACGTCATGGCTTCAGGGAGGTCCATCATGGCAGACATTTGGAAGTGATGGAAAGCTTTCGTATGGTTGATCTCATCCACTGCATAACCGATCTGATAACTCTGCGCTAGGTAGAAATGAGACACCCGGCTTTTGTGCTTCCGATCCTCCTCAGTCTCGTCATTGTCAATGTACAGGCGCTTCTCCGCCTCCTCCGCCTCCCTCCTCGCCGTCGAGGAGTCGTCATCGTCGTCGTCATAGTCCGGAAGCCGGTACCTCTTGATGTGATAATTCCACTTCTCCACCTGAAAGACAGAAACGTCAAAGGGAACCTACTCCACTCAAGCAAACATAAAAAATCTCAAGTACAAGCTCCCCAACACCCACAGTATCTGGCTGATGCATGCTAGAACAACTGACGTCTCTCCTCGCTGACAGGCTGAGCAAACCACAAGCCTCACCGCGAGCAACCCAAGCGTGTCGAGATTCACGTTCCGCTCCTCCCTAACAACCTCAGGGTGTTCCTCCTCAAACTCCTTGATGTCCTTCAGAACCTCGTCCTTGTGCCGGTTCCCGTAGTACAGGTTGTGAAAGAGAGCATCGTCCTCTTCCATCAGCAGGTCACCCTCTGTGAACGACCTGTTCTTCATCTGCGCGAACATCTTCTCTGGATCGAACTTGCTCCTTAACCTCCTGCTCTTCCCTAGTTTGCTCCTTGGCTGGGCTGGAAGCCGATGGCCTCCCTTCAGATGAAGCACTGCACGGAGGGGGGACGGGAGCGGAGGAGTGTGCGAAGATGGTATTTGCCAGAAGATGCCAAGGAGGCAGAGGAGGGACAGGGGATGGCTGGAAGACAGCATGTTGTTCATGCTGAGATGTTGGGAAGGATAAAGACAACGGTGTGAACAAGAGACAGAGAAGGAGCCGAAGGAAGAGAGGATGTAGAAGGGGAAATAGAGGAGGAGGAGGAGAAGGAGAAGGAGTTAAGATCTCAGAGGCTTGCGCTGTGAAATAAAAATCTCGATGAGGGACGAGGAGGGGGTGAAGGGTCTGAGGGTCTGAGGGCAGCAAGAGCGTCTCTAGCTCAGGAGCTGCTGGCTGATCTTCCTGCTTCAAGCTTCTTCTCTAGCTCAGGAGCTGCTGGCTGATCTTCCTGCTTCAAGCTTCTTCCCCCTCACGCCATCAGCCGCCAGCTGCTCGAGCTTGTGACGAGCCGCATTACACGCTCAGCCGACTATCACAGTAGTATCATCAGTGTCTCTTTACTCAACATCAGTTCGCCGGCATCGGGCCGCCGGGCCGCCCGGCACTGATCGATGTTCATCGCCGCCGGGCTCAGTCACGGTGCTCCGAACTTGAAGGCCGAGCTAGTACTTCACTGAGAAGTTCCCGGGCCGGCGCCGTCATTGGACGGCCCGGGCCGCGCGGGACTCCAGGAGAAATATGGCCGGATCGGCGGCAAGAGTCGAGTGACGGTCACGGCCACACTGTGAGCCGATCTCATCCGACGGCCGGACTCCCCGGACTCCGGGATGCAATGATGATCATCATACTATGATACTACGGAACGACGGTACTACCGTCACGGAACTAGACTGATGGGCAGCGCGGCATTTGATAATCTGCCTACTAACCGGCTTTCTACTCAGTACGGTTATCTCCCTCCCGCCTTCTTCAAGCCCTTTGCTTCCTCCTCAAGCTGAACTCGGAGCGTGTTGATGAGTGCCTACAAGGAGGTTCAGCAAGCCATGGGGGACGCAGTGCTGTGCTCTACCTTCTGCTGATCCGAGATCTTCAACTCATCCAATTTCTACACCATCAAGGGTAAGGGCAGCAGAAGTGCAAAGGAAGGTAACAGAACCTGAGGAGGGAGCTGTACCAGCAGCTTCAGCTGCTGCAGTTGCCCCTCTGAGAGGCTCGCAAGGACCTAGCTGAACCATGAGAGAAAACAGCAATCAAGACTAAGTCTTGCCGTCTTCAGGTCTGGACGAGCTTGAGCGGATGGTGGCGGTTGGGCCCGAGGTTGCATCATGTTCTGCTGGAGGGAAGTTAGAAACAAGCACCAGGAGCGATTGAGCTCCACCGCCTGCATGTTCTGCATGTGCTGGTTTGGCATCGATGGTGGCATCCCGCCCGGCAAAGGACCAGGCATCCCACCAGGGATGGGGCCCGGCATCCCACCAGGGACAGGGCCCGGCATTCCACCAGGGACAGGGCCCGGCCTTCCCCCGGGCACAGGGCCGGGCAAACCCATAGGGTGTGGCTACCAAGACTTGAAGTCAAAGGGAGTAAGTGACTGCAGATGGGACAAACCTGGTTGGGACGGGGAGGATACCCTTGCATGCCCATGGGCTGGTTCAAGTGCTGGGGCTGCACAAGCGTGTCAACCCCTGCCGTTCAAGATCAGGCAGCATACAGGATAGGGGGCAGGCGGCATCGGCTGCTGCTGGGGAATGCCTGGTCGGCCAGCACTCCGAGGATCTACGCTCATTGCATTGTGCACCATTCCAGGCATCGGAGTCTGTTGCAAACAAACTCTCTGTTACCATTCAGTGACACATTACGAGCAAGGAGGACCGGGACTGGAGGGTTGGCTGGCTGCGATGGCGGGGCAGGAGGCTGGATGGGAGGGGCGGACAAAGGAATCCCTCCTAACATATCAAGTCTCTCCTACATGAGACATCAGAGGGAGAGGATACGAGGACAGGCGCCTTCACCTGCATCCTGAGGAACTCGCAGCACAGTTTCGCATTCTGAGTCAAAAGTTCTTTAGCCTGAAGAGAACCCGATCACATCTAGGACAGTCAAGAGAGGGGATGACAGACCTGAGTAGGGTTCTGCGACACGATGTTTCTCAGCTGGGCTATAAGGTCATACCTTGCAACAGACAATCAGGTCCCAGTTAGTCGTTAACTTGAGCCCACGTACATCTGATTTGCAGTCATGTTGCTGATCTGATTCATAACTGCATCCTTTTTCCCACCTTGGAACATCCCTCCCTGAAAACTGCAGATTACCGCTGATCGACTCTAGACATATTTCAGAGCATTTCTACACTGACCATCTTCTGTTGCTGAGCTTGCGACGCATCTTGTACGGCAAAGTCAGTCACACACATCCCATTGCAGACTTCATGAGGAAGGTTTCAAACCTTTTCCAGCAAGCTGAGCCAAACTCGGGCCAGCAGTACTGACACACAAAAGGTCAGGTCCGGCTGGGAATATAGATAATCGTTGGCAACACAGCGAACGCTCACTTCTGATCCGAGATCGATGAAGCAAAGTCAACACGCAGTGGTCGACCGTTCATCTCATAGTTGTTGAGGTTCCGAACTGCAATCTCTGCCGATTCCACATCTCTGAACTCGCAGAATCCAAACCCTTTCGGCGCTCCAGTCTCAGGGTGGAGGACGAGTCTGCAAGCATCAGCCAACTTAGTTACGTCAGGAGCAGCCATGCCATGGCACCTGAAAGCGAGGACAGGGCCAGCAGTCTCAAACACTTCCTGGAGCTGATCTTCGCTGGCAGTGTACGGGATGTTCCCAACGAAGACGGTCCTGGTAGATCTCAGGAACTGCACTGCTGCAAGGTCTTGCTCACCTGTTTGTTTGCTCTCCTCGCTGCATCATCATGGACGGATGGTGCATATTCATGTTCATAGTCGCCATGGCCACGCACTGTTCGAACTGTTGTACCTAATCAAACACATCAGGTGAGATGGAGAGGATGGGTATGACAACAGGCAGGGAGCGCCTACGTTTTTTCTTCTCCTCTGCCTCTCCTAAATCTCACAGTTGCGTCCTGCAAGACTGATCTTTCCTTCTGCTATCTTATCTTTCCTGGTCAGCTTCATCTTCTCTGCAGATCACCATGTCCCTCCCTCCTCTATTCTCTGAAATCCTCCTCATCCCCTCCCATCTCCTTCATTCTTCAACTCACTCCCACTCTCTCCTCCTCTCACTCTGTTCATCTCCCTCTTCCATCCTCCTCTCCTCTCATACTTCATCCTCCTCTCCCTCTCCTTCCTCCTTTTCCTCCCCCGCCATGTCTCGTTCCGTCCATCGCCCACATACCGTAGCCCCCTGGCGCGCCGACCCACCCCTACCTCAGCGATTTCAGAACTACCCAGGGACCTATCATAGATACCCCTGCATTGTTTACCCCTACCCCTATTTTCAGAGTCAAAATCTTTATGATTGTACCCAATAAAGATACCCTACCCCGTATTCCTGGTACCCCCCACCAGCATTGAAGCCGGGATGAAGCAAAATGATGACGAGACGAGCGCAGCAGGGAGTCGAGGGAGGAGCAGGAGCAGGAGCAGGAGCAGGAGCAGCAGCAGCAGCAGCAGCAGCAGCAGCAGGAGCAGGAGGAGAGAACGTTATGAGATGAGTTGGAGAGGAGGAGAGGAGTTGGAGAGAAGAGACCCAAGGAATGAAAGGGCCGAAGGAGTAGAGAAGCGACACTCAGCGAAATAGAGCGAATAGATATATGTAAGGGGTGAGAAGTGGAGGAGTCAGAAGAAAGGGAAGAAAAATGTCAAAGAGATACTAAGGGAGAGGGGAGGATCAGTCCCAGGTAGCAGGGTTGGCCCATTATAACCCATCACAGCGGAGACAAACCAGATCCCGATGTGTAGAGTATGGGTTCATGTGACGGGGCCACATGCGAAGTACCGCAAGATCGCAGGATCGTGCTGGCCATAAGATGAGAGGGGGGGTTGAAACGACTGTGATGAGTCTTGTTCATGCGTCCTAGACAAACATGGGGTGCAAAAGGAAATCATAGTGGTAGGAGAGGTTGTGGTGTCAGGAAACCAAGTGCGATGGATTCACACCAGCAAGCAACATTGCAATGAAGATTGCTCGTGTCCAGATAGATGGTCAACAGGCACATGAACGTGATGCGCACGTAGATGAAAAATGAAAAGAAGTTGCCGCCTGATTGCAAGGCCTTTCATGCAGAACGATCGAGAAGAGTCATCTTCTACTCCCTTCTCGTCAGACACGTGTTCACTTACTCTCTTACGTCGTAGATCCCCGAGACTTGGATATGGCCAGAGACTATGGCGCGATGGGCGAGCATGATGTAGCTGTCCTGCATGCCGCATTTCACTTGCTGACAAGCGTGCAGGAGGTGGCAGAGGAGATGGAGGCAGTGACGGACGACGAAGCGGTGGGCTCGTCGTGGGGTGAACCCTTGGGATCCTTGCTGAAAGAAGTGCAGGTGAAGAAGAAGAGGTCCAGGAAGAACAAGAACGGGTTGAAACCAGGACAGGTGCTCCCTCTCTGTGCTGTGCGATGAGACGAGCCGTGACCAACCTTGTTGCTTGCCAGGCTCTTTCGTTCACGGGGCTGGAGCCAAGAAAGTAGGGAGCCCTGCTGAATGATACGGGGAGATGACGATGGTGTGTAGATGGGATGGTGTGGACATGTTGGACATGAAACAGCTTCTCCCTCGTTTCTTAGCCGGTCAGCCCTTTCCGGCAGAACCTGCAGCACAGGAGTAAAATGCTGACAGGCTGTCTGTGCATGACTCTTACTATCGGGCTCGTGACTTTCTTCTCCTATCAAGTCCTTGAGGGGCCCTTAGGTGAGAGACACATGCTGCTTGCTTCGTGACATCTCAGATGCGTTGGTAGGCAAGGCACTTGACGCCAGTCAGAATCTCAAGCATTCTTCAGGTGATTGAACATCTTGAAGTCACAAGTGATCCCGCTTCTTGCAACTTTTGCTCATTCCTGCTGTATCAGCACATGCGCAAACTCATCAGATGGCGTTGAACCATCTGAACAAAAAGATTTCCAACGCGCACTCAATCCACAGGCAGAAAGAACACGATCATGGGGACTTGAAGAACAAGCAAGCGCATCGCAGGGGCCGTCATATGCTGAGTTACGATGCTGCTGTTGTGCAGAGACAGGAGCAGAAGTGAGGGAGGGAGTCACTGCTCGTCTTTACTCGGAGGGATCAAAAACTTGAAGAGAAGTGCAACCACCGTCACGTTGATTGAGTTGCCCACGAGTTTATACTTGTGTCGCAGTGTCAGCCCTTGAAGCAAAGTCAGAAGGAACAGGCAGTGTTCCCCGTGTTGCAAACCTTCTGGAAACTTGAAGCCCTTTGGAAAGCCCATCAGATTCAGAATCTCTCTGATGCAGCTTGTTCAGTTGTTATGAACAAGCTCACTTTTCCCGTAACACCTTGGTGAAAATAAACGGATTCTTCCAATATGGCGGGTCATGTCTTCCTTGTCGAGGGCAACTTCCGCTAGCGCCTGAACCGAGAGACGAGAGAGCGTCATACAGTCTGACCAGCGAACATGAGGAGAGGCAGATAGAAGGCAGAGAGGGGCAGACAGTCGTGTATCCCTCTTCTCTCTCTTCTCCACCTCTCCGACGACTAACGTACATGATCGGCATGCATGTATAGCATCGACCCCGATGACTTGTGGTATACCTTCCCATAGGACCCCTGGACGGGCGTCACTCCCATCGCGTCAACCCTCAGTCGGATACCGTGAAGCAGAAAGTCGTCGTGTCATGCTGCCCAACATAAGAGAGGCCCCGGGCCCACCTGCTCAGTCTCAGCCCTCGCACCCTGGCTGCGGGAGGTAGAGGAGCTTACGGCTTTTCTAGGATGGAGGCTGGAGTGACTAGCTCTTGAGGATCGTCCTGGGCAGTCGAATGTCATCATCGGGCCTCGGATCTCAGGACACTGACTACCGGCCCGAGCTCCTCGTCCAAGAATTCTCTCAGCCTCCGCACACTCCGCTCTTCTACATTAGAAAACCGTCAAACAAGTTGTTGAAAAAAAATATCTGAGCAACAAAGAAACTTTTCTCGACCTTTTGAGCTTTCCCCATTCATTGCCTCTGCACGCCTGTAGAGGAAATTATCAACCATGAAGGACCTCAAAGCTGATGGCGCGTACTGGTCAGAGGTCTCAGGCACGTCCGTGAACAAATCGCCCTGACGATCAGAAAACCTTGCGCTCCTCTCACAGAGCAGGTAAAACCTTGTAATGCCAGTCATCGCACGTGGCACGGAGTAACATGTCATACCTGAGACGGTTGTTAGGTATGCCGACCTGTATCGGATTCAACAGGAATTGTCGCCACGAGAATCCACGTTGTTCTATTGCCCCCAGGAACTTGTTCTGCATTTTGGATCCATGAAATCCTTTTACATTCTCAAGCAAGATCCACTTTGGTGGATTCTTTACATCCAACAGAAGCTTTATGATGTGCTTGAGAATGTAACATTCAGCCATGTCAAATCATGTGATCGTTAGAACTCACGTGCAACCCTTGACTCCTCGGGTCAAGGTCGTCACGCTGGTTGGCAGCTTTTGTTGTCGAGTATGGTTGGCATGGGGGGGACATAGTCCACAAGTCGAACCCTTCCAAGTCTTCTACTTCCAGCTGTTCGACAAGTTTCGCTCTGACAGCGCATCTGTTGAGTGGTGCCGGGGAGTGGATGAAGTTTAGCTCGTAAGTCTTGTTGCAAATCAAAGAAGTGTCGTACGCCACGATCTGGTTATGGAGTCAGACGAGGAAGAAATTTCAGTTCATCACATGCACACGTGGCTTTTTGGTGTGTACATTGAAGAATAGGGAGAGGGGGGAGGGGGGGGGTTCCAGAGGGTGAGATCGTTCCAGCAAAAATCAACTAACTACCATCTCTTCTCTACAGACAGACGCCATGACAAAGTTTGTCGCAACCACAACTCTTCAACAGTCACACCATGTGCTTCGACTTACCTCTCCTGCCTTCACCTCTGCCTCCATCATCGCTGCGTGCATGCCTCCGATGCCGCTGAAGAGCTCCAACACCCGCATGTTCCTCGCTCGATTGGCCGCATCCGGCCTCCGGCGGCGAGCCCCGGGCCCGGTCGCACTCAGTGATTGGAAAAGATTCTCACGGTTATACTTTCCGTTGTACTGAGGTACTGATAGAGCGGTAAAACTATATAATTGACAAGGAAAATCAATACAAATCTACTTTTAAATATTGTATAGCCATGGTACTGTTCGCAGAAAGCTATACTGCCTGGTTTTCTCAAGAAAATCAATTCGGTTTTGACCCTGAGACATATACAAAAACAAAATACATATATATGTGATTTTAAAAGCAAATAGATAGATTATATATATAAACTGTACGGATGGAGTAAGTACGGATCAGTATATTTATCTTTACTTCTTTACAAATATAGTTAATACTACCGGTGGTCAAGCAGTGACGTCTGTACGGGTAGGTGGTCAGTTTGTACAATCACCTGGGGGTTTGGTCCATGACGGAAACATAGGGAGTAGAGGATGGATAATATAAGTAGAGCATTAGTTAAAAAGACGGAGGTGGTCGGGATGAGCATTTGATGAAGTGTGGGGTATGCCAGCTGGAAGTGTAGTCCTGATGGGGGGTGGATGGTAAAGGGTCTCAATTGAGCTGCGAGATTTGAAGGGCGAACTATGGGTGGGGGTGGGTACAAAACTTGAGTTGTCCTGATGGGGGTATACTTGTGAAAAGAATAAGAATGGTAAAGGATATACAGCTATAGGTAGTCGGTAAAGCATGTGACAAATGACCTTGAAAAGGGGGCTGAAATGCTTGCCTCACTTTTGAATTTTTCAAGATGACTTCAACTGAATCTCAACCTTTATATCGTTTTAGATTTTAAATCACTTTTTGAGAGTTCCTGGTACTGACGCAGGGAGAGTCCTTGGTCCTATCAGAGGGTTACTTCCTATGACCCCATAAGCCCATTTGTTCTAGGAAGTGCGCTAGGCCCGCTGGTTCATAAGACAGGGCTATTCGATAGAACTTGCGACCTAGGTGCTCCCTAGCACCGAATCTAGGGCCCCTAGCACAAGGTGGTAGGAAGGGACATGGTCGTAGCTCTGGTCCTAGCATTAATAGGTGGCGCATAGGGGCCTAGCACCTGTGGGTGTGAGGGAAAAAAAGAATGGCTTGTTACTACGGGAGAACACAAGGAGGAGGACGAGGGAAGGAGGAATGCAGAGAAGCGAGAGAAGGACGATATAGACTTAGACATTACGATATCTCCTTCCATGTTTGTTTTGAGATTTGTCGACCGCTCCGTATGCTCGGTGCATGTTTGTTTCAGGCCGTGTGAAAATGGTTGATTTTGTAATTCTGATTCAGATTGATCGAGCTGTGTTTGCTGTTCAAATTGAAGGAGAGGGCACTTTGCTTTAAAAAAATCTTTACTATTCCATGATTTGCTGTGAGATATCTCAATTCATAGCTTGACGGTTTTCCTGAAGAATTCATGTCTGACAAGTATTTGGTTCATTGTGAAACGTTCAAAACTCGACTCCTTTGGTCGAAAGTTTTGTTTTAGAGAATAAGTTGGGAGGATTCTATTTGAATCGGAGTTCAAGAGCCATCTGTGTTGGAATTCATCATATCATTGACACATTATTTTTATATTATGAATACTTGCACCTCATTTTCTAAAGATGTTTATGCAGCCATTTCCTTTCGTAGTATCAATTTGTGAGGAACTGGCTTACATTGCTACTTTGTCGAGCTTCAGATACAGTAAGTTTTACCTTGTAACGCTCAAAATCCCTGCTCTTTTTTCGTCTTGTCTTGTATGCAATTTTTGAGATGCAAATCTGTATGCGACCCCTCGTTTCTTGTGGAATTTTGTCCCTTTGCAAGACTGCCTCTCTTGGAGACAACCTGATTTCTGCTGACTCGGCTCACCTAGATTGTAACACCAAGCCTGGTATTGATTGCTGACGCCGCAAGCATCGCTTCAAGATGAGCGATGCTTGCGTTGATGACCACTCAAACCCTCCATGGGATCCACTTCGTGAACAAGAATGGGCGAGCCTTAGTGCGGAAGTGGACAGCATGGAGGCAATGGGGAACTGGGACAGTGTTTGCTCGTCAGGTCATGTTCCGACACACTCAGATCATGGGGATGACTGCGATGTGCTCAACATCTCCTGCCCTGTGACACGACCCAAGGTCTGTCTGCAGTTCAGTCAAGTGGCAATAGACGGGGAGCCCAACCTGGATACTAACACTGGTTGGCCGTTCGGAATGTCTCAGGGGCTGAATGGACCTCTGCAAGGTCGGGGAGCTGCTGGTGCAGAGAAGCATGGAGAGATGTGCGTTAGTCACATGGAGCATGACGTGGACGACGCTCTGTTCGATGATGCTGACGATGATCCCGACAAAGAACTGAGCATTCCATTCCAGCTTTCAAGGAATGAGAACAAGGATGGGATGTTTCACACTGGGATGAATGGATACAACCGAGTGAAAATCGAGAATCGAAAAGACTCCTTGAATCTTACTCTGGCGATTCCTGATGGAAAAACAGAAGCTTATCTTGTGGAAGCCGACTCTGCACCGCCCATGGCAGTGGCCAAGACCGAACCTGGAGAGAGCTCACTGTTTCCTGTATGTTTCTTTTGTTGGACAACATCAACTGCATCTCATTCTTTCCCCAGGTTCATCTGTTCGTGACGGCAATTGCTGATGGAAAGATTTTGAGTGACTCCCCACCCAAAGTGAATGCTGTTTTGGAGCAAGTTCGCAAGAAGGTTTCGAAAGAACAGAACACAGTCGTCCAAGTCTGCAATGAAGGGGCTGTTGATTTGAAGATGAGGGTAAGGAAGCTGACCAGCTCATTCGTATACTTGTCTTCTTTTCAATGCTTTCATCTTCCCTGAAGCAGAGTTCCCTATCGTAAATGTGGAAAACTGATTTTTCGACACAGGTCTTTGTTGCTAACAGTGTGGAGGCAAAGGCAGTATGGGACTACATCAGTACTCACACTAATCAGGTTCAAAGTTGAAATGTCAGTCATGTGGTTGAGAAATGACAATTGACAGATCCCTGCTCCCTTCGTTGTGCTTTCAAAACAACTCATGATGGCTGTGAGCTATGATTCAAGTGCGTTGTTTGATCGTTATCACTGCTTTGATTGACGTCCTGACAGGTTCTTTGGATCCCTCGCTTGCAAGTGTTGCAGACCGGCTTCGCAAGCAGGCAAGCCCGATCGAATTTGCTTTGCAAAGCAGTGTGACCTGGTCGATGCAGATCAAGACGCATGCGGTCAAAGTGCTTAGGGAGGCCATCGGAGATAAGGCGTGCACCCTTACTACGGCTATGCTTCGAGGCTACAGGTTTCACGAATGTCTATATATACTTATGTCCTGAGTTCTCCATGAAGTGGCCCCATGGCGCCGGCTAAGATTATCGAACCCTTGGTTCAACAACGAGCTACACTGGTAACTTTGTCTGCTGCACAGATGGAGGAAGTGACCTGTCGGTTCACAGGTGCCTGGGCATCCAGTGAAGCGATTCATTATCTTGCCTGCGAAGAACAAGAGTGTGAAAGATGAGAAGAGTGCCAACGGCAGGTGAGGAAGCGATCACATGATGCGAGGTAGATACAGCTGACCATGTGTAGCCTCCACTCTCCCAAGGGAAACGGAAGGGGATACTCATCAGGTGATCATCTCCATCGACATTGTATACAGCTTGTTCAGCATGTGACCATCAAACAGGATGTTCTTCAGCAACCCCAACCCCACCATCGTCCTCGGGAAACATGTTCTTCAACAGCAGAACCTTTTCTGAGCCTGATAAGAGATCCCCTAGGTGGCCGTCGCTCCATCACCCCCACACTCCGAGGTCTCCCGACACTTCCGCACCCTCGACACCTGGTGGCGCGATGCAGGTGACGATTCTCACTGGGTTGCTGCGGCGAGGACCTGAGACCTAAACCCAGCCACAGGAAGAGATGGACCTCATGTGGGAAGGAAGGCTCACTGCCCATTTCCCTGTAAACTTATTCGTCACGGCCATCGCGGACGGCGAGATGGCCCGTGATACCCCTCCCAAGGTGAAGCTGGCATGTCGATAAAGCTCGACTGATTGACGGCATCTCAGGTTCAAGAACGCTTAGCTCAGATCGTTAGGAAAGTTCCCAAGGAGCAGAACACGTCTGTTGAGGTCGATATGTTGTTGAACACTGTAGTTGTTGCTAATCAACGACTTTCTTGTCTTTCTTGACAGGTCTCGGAAGGATGCACTATTGATTTGAAGATGAGAGTTTTCGTTGTGAACTCGGAGGATGCAAAGGTTTCCTCCGCGTGTGATTATTCCCTGTTGTCCTAAAGCTTCTTCAAGGCTGTCGGGGAGTACATCAATTCACACATGGACCAGGTTCCATCGTAGATGTCCGACTATTCTTCCCCTGACATTTTTGTAGCTTCCTGCCCCTTTTGTTGTATTGGCAAAGCAGTTGCCCATGGCAGTTTTGTATGATCCTACAGCGTTGGATCTGTCAGATGCATCTGTTGCCGACCGCCTTCGTAAGCAGGTGCATCCGAAATCACAATTCGAGGTTCTTGGCTGAGTTTTGAACTTCAGGCGAAGACTCGTGCAGTGAAGGTGCTGAGAGAAGCCATCGGTAAGGACCTCGGCGTATGCAGAGACACGCACTGACGCATCTCCAGCCACTAAGTCGCTTGGCATCACTCAACACATGCTGCGTGGACACTGTGGGGCGATGCAACCTTCGGAACGCCTTACGGTACAAACATGCCTTGTAGTCATCGTTGATCTAATCTTTTTATAGGATTTCCTCATCACTAGGACACAAGTTTTAGAATCAGATCCCAAGAACAGAGTAAGAATCGTCCTCGGTTGCACTCGCAAGCTGATTTCTTTGCCTAGTATTTTGTGTTTGCTGCACGCAACAAGGGCTGCAGTGTTCCTTGTTCGCCCCGCAAGCGTCCGACTCCTGACTCACCTCCAGTGGTCACTTTCTTTCTCATCCTCCTTGTTCTCCGCTCTCCCTTCTTTCTCATCCTCCTCCCTCATCCTCCTCCCTCATCCTCTGCCTCCCCCCTCTCTCGCTCCCTCCCCTCTCTCTCCTCTGTGTCGCTTCAAGTGACATGCGAATAGGTTGGCGATGCTCTCAATCATCTCGACCCTTCGTGCGAGAACGCAGATGGAGACGCGAGCGGTGGGCAAGCACCAGGAATGAACGTGGGCCCGATGATGAAGCAAGCAAGCATACGTCCCTTGTCAGGTACGCTCAGCCGTCTGCGGGGTACAAGTGAAGTCATGATGTGCCTTCAGTGGGCGTCAATAGACGAGGAGGAGCCGCGTCGGCGTCGCACCTGCATCGCAACATGCTCGACAAGGTGACCTGCGTGACCCGGACCGAGTGACTCGCTGATTGAACGACTGAATGATTGACTTGATGACTTGACTTGATGATTGACTGGCGGGCGGACAGACTAACATGACATGACATAACATAACATAAGATAACATGATCCAACTGAGTCATGTCTGACTTGCCTGACTTGTGGAGTGACTTGAATGAGGGATGGCAAAGTAAGGAATGACTGACGGCACTGGCAGGCGTTCAACAAGAAGATGAAGGGTTCGTTCGATCACATCTCTCCCATCCCCTCAGGATCTACTCTCTGAGCGTGCCCTCGTCCCCCCTTGGATTTTCTCTGGCGGATTTTTCGATTCGGAGAAGGAGAGGCGAACAGGTTGAAGGAGGAAACGCGCAGCCTCGGTCGTCTCCGTACCGTAGGAAGAGGACGGGAGGGGAGAAGGAGGAGGGGGAGGAGGAGAGTTGTCTAGATGTTTTTGTTTTTTGAGGATGAGAAGATTGGTCGCGAGAGAGAGTAAGAGGTTATCTGCCATGCTCAGCTGCTACTCACTTGAAGTAATAAAGTCGTTTCAAGTTGCTCAGCTGCAGTTAATCGTTCTTGCGGGTCTTCATGCCCGAGGCGAGGACTGCGGCCTCCTGCTGCAGCTTCTTGCGGGCCTGCGTTAGGCAGTGAGGGGCAGGGGGACAGCAAGGGAATAGCTGGGGAAGAGTTGGGGGAGGGATGGGGTAGGGGCTCGAGGCTTCCAGCGACTCACATGAATGGCATCGACGATCTGCCGACGAGCATCTTCCAAGGAAGTCTCGAGCGCCTGCAGCAAGTGAGAGGCAGCTGGAAGGGAAGGGGAGGGGAGGGGAGCAGAGGGTCTCCTAGCTAACCGTTACAGCTTGAAGCAGCGTCGCCTTGCGCGCGAGAACGTTCTCGAGTCGCATATGAGCAGGAGCATCGTCCTCTAACTTGGTCGCTGCACGAGAAGGGAGACCGGGAGGACAGGGAGGAGAGGAGGACAGGGAGGACGAGGACGAGGACGAGGACGAGGAAGGAGACGAGGAGGAAGAGGTTGAGGGTCAGCGAGAGCAGCGGGGAATCTGAAAAGACTCACAGGCGTTGTTGACTTTCTGCACGTTGCCGCATGGGAGCCCGAGGACCTTCAGAGCGAACTCGTCAATGTTCTCCCTCCTGATCCTCCTCCTCCTCCTCCTCCTCCTCCTCCTCCTCTCTCCTTCTCTCCATCCTCTCTTTCATATTCTCCTTCCCTCTATTCGCGCTCCTCTCCCTGCTCTCCCCTCCTGACTCACTCACTCTGATCTCTCCGATCCCTTCTCTCCTCCTCAACGTCTTCCTCCCTTCCTCTCTTCTCCCCTCTTCTCCACCATTCTTTTCTGCTCCTTCCTCTCTCTGATTCCTCTCCTTACCATCGGGCAATTCGGCGACAACTTGCGATGCACAGCCTTTGCGTCGTCCGATCGTTCCCAGTCACCCTGCCAGATCCTATCAAGGGAGAGGGGGAGCAGACCAAAAGAAGCAAGAGCAACAGCAAGAGGAGGAGGAGGCGCAGCAGCAGTAGAGAGCAGCAGGGAGCAGCAGGGAGCAGCAGCAGCAGCAGCAGGGAGCAGCAGCAGCAGCAGCAGCAGCAGCAGCAGCAGCAGCAGCAGCAGCAGCAGCAGCAGGGTGACCAGCTGCAGGTCGCAGAAGAAGCAGACGACTGTGTCGGGGTCTTGGGGGGTCGGACAAAAGTGAAACCTGGATGAGCCATGAGAGCGAGTGGAATGAGATCAAGAAGAAGAATAAGATCAAGGAGGAGGAGGAGGAGGAGGAGGAGGAGGAGGAGGAGGAGGAGGAGATCAAGGAGGAGGAGGAGGAGGAGGAGGAGGACAAGCAGCAGCAGCAGTTACCCATCCGCCGCTAAGATTATTGGGGTCACGCCAGGATGAGAACTCTGTGAGGAAGAACGTAAAGGAGCTCAGCAGGAGGTCAGCTGGGTTCTCAGCTACCTCAGTGTGCGGCCAGTGCTCGAAGGTCTTGAGACGCTGAACCTCCTCGTTCATCCTGCCGCCTGCCATGTTCCCTCACCTCCTGCCTCCTCTTCTTCCCTCTTCCCTCCTCCTCCTCTTCTGTATCCTCGGTACAGCTCTAGTTGTCG